GTTTTATTTTTTTTTTTATTGATTTTTTTAACAAACTTATATTTATTTATATTAAAAAGTATATAAATCCAAAAAAAATAAAATATTTTATTAAAACATAATTAATATTGTATACTAAACCCCACCCCCACCTTTTCTTTAATGTTTTTATTAAATCACCCAAATATATCTCTAACAAAGATAACAACAAGTAAAAAATTTTTGTTTTCTTAAATCTATTCCAAAAATTAAAAAAAAAAAAAAAAACATAAAATAAAAGTATTGGCAATGCTTTAAATACTAATATCGACTATTATTCAATATTAATGAGTTTATGAAATCATCACATATCATCTTTATAATGAACAAACCCTCTGTAACTATCATAGATCTATAAATAATTCCTTTTTCAATGGGTGATAAAAAAATAAGTGTCATTTCATTTATTAAAAGTTTTTATAAAGTTAATTACTAGATCCATGTGCACCATTATTATTCAATTTCAATAATAAAGGTGTTTTTTTTTTTTTTTATCATAATCAAAATCAAAATAAAAACTGTAATAAAAAACCAAAATCATCAAATGTATTTATTTTTGATTTAATAAATATTCAAAATCAAAAAATCACAATTTTGTGATTATATTATAATCTTATCCTTAGGATTGAATAATATTTTTTAAGAGGAGAAATTGTGGTGTAAATTAATATTGGTTTTTTTTTTTCTTTTTTGTTTTTTATCTCTTTATAAACTGGGTGTTTAATGTTTTTTTTATAAAATAAAAAAACATCAAACAACAAATTTAACTATTGTCAAAAATCATATGTTAAAAACCTCTTTCAATAAAAAATTAAAAAAAAAAAAATTTTAAAAAAAAAAAACAAACTGTAGAAACAAATAAACATTTTTTATATGAATTTTTCTCATTATTAATAATAATAATATAATGATAATAACATTCAAAATCACCCCCACCATAAAAATTGGTAGTAGTTTACATAAAAAATAATTACTCAAAATACCATAGAGTAGTTTTTTATTTTTTTATTTTTTTATTTTTTTTTTTTTATTTAATTTCTCTTTATTATTATTTTTTAAATTAATCATCATTATACAGCAAATAAATTTTTATTGGCTTGTGTTTTTTGATAATTTTTAATAAATATTAATTTTTATATTTTTATTAATAAAATTTATATCATATTTACCCATAGTTACTCCATTTTTTTTTTTTTAATTGATTCATTGAATTCTATAAATACTACCAAACACTTTCTTACATACTTTTGCTTTACCTTAAATTTATATATAAAAAATGAATGTTAGTATTATACTTGTTTGATATTTCAAATAAATATTATAAAATTTGATTGGATATTAATATTATTTGAAAAATTTTATAAACCACTTCAACCTACGTTGGAAAGGCAAAAATGAATAAAAATTGACCCTATATTATAGTTTTGGGAGTATATAGTTAAAGAATTCTATTCTCCAATAATATTAAAAAAATTAAAAAAAAATAATTTTTTTAAAAAAAAAAAAAATAAAAAAAACAAAATAAACCTTATCGTATTAGCTTGATAAATTATTGGGGGCACTATTATGAAACTATACCATATGTAATTATTAATAATTATAAAAATAATATTAAAAAAAAAAAAAAATAAAAAAAAAATAAACTAATTTTAATTTCTTTCAATTATTTTTTTATAAATATTTATAATTCAACCACTGGAAATTTAACAATAGAGCCAATTTCATACTAATTAAATACTATATATAATATTTTTTATTAAAAATTATTAAAATAACATTTTTTAAAAAATATTAAAAAACATAAAAATAATTTTAAAAAAAAAAAAAAAAAAAAAAAAAAAAGAATAGTATATTAACTATGACAATGAGAAGTATAAAATACCAACCTGATACATCTGTTGTTTTTAATTTAGTGTTATACACTTTATTAATAACTACTATTAACAATTAACCAAACCAATTATAATAAATTTCGAATTTTTATAAAACAAACAATACATATAATACTTTTTCTCTAATTATAAAATTTTTTTACAGGTTTAACAATGTAACAAGAAAATAACACAATAAAGATTTTAACAATATAAAAAACAAATTTGGTGAAGATAGCATTTTTTTATCTGTTTTTATTAAATATAATGTATTTATTAATATTTGATTGAATTTTTTTATGAATATACTTTATTGTAGTGGTTAGTAAATATAAAAAATTTATCTATATTTATACACTTTTATATATTTGTTTTACATGTGTTTAAGAGTGTGCTGATAGTGGGTAGATGTGTTAAATTTATATATTTATATATAAACTTTTTTTTATCTGTCAAATTCCCACACCCCAAAAAAAAAAAAAAAAAAATCAATGTAAAAATAAAAAATATGAATATATCTACTTTATTGGTAAGTCATTGTAATCTTCATCAATAGTTAAACTATAAATTAATATGAAAGAGGGGTATAAATATTACATATGTAGTATGGTTTTAAAATATAATTTTTAAATTATTTTAATAGTATGCTGGGTATATGAATATATATTTTTTTATTTTTTATAAATTTTCATATTGCATAATTAAACCAGCTTTTCTTTTTTTTATATATTTACACACACAACAAGCAATTAAACAAGCAAACAAATTAAAAGGTAAATATTTAATTCGAATATTAAAAAAAAAATTAAAAAAAATATAGTTTTATTAAAATTTTATTATTTTTTTAAATTATACTTTATTTTATTTTTAAAACAATTTACTAATTATTACAATTTTATTTGTCAATTCCAGTTTTTGAATGGAAAAACATGGAAAAGAAAAAGTTGAACAAAAATGACTTTTGACAAGTGAAAAAGCACAATAGTTAACTTTTTGTAAAGTGTAAAACCCAATAAACAAATAAAAACTATATCTTAATAGCAAAGAAATTAACCCATCAAAAAAAAAAAAAAATGGTGCAAAAACAATAATATAATAACCAATAACAATAACCACATTCATATTACACTGAACAAATACATTAATACTAACTACTACTATTATTATTATTACTAACTGCAACTATTGCTCTAAATATCCAATAATAGAAAAAGAGATTATTTTCATCAACAAAAAAATAATGGGAATTCTTTAAATTTACAACTATCCATTTTTATCCAAATCGTATTAATATATAATCTTTTTTTTGTATTACAAGAGACTGCTGTGTTATAATATTAAAAAATCCATCAATGATACTCACCAATGATTTAGCAAATGATTTAGCAAATGAATTTCTACCAAAGAATCTAGCCAGTGTCAATCTCCCCGCTGCAACTCCTTAATAATGTGTTTCATCGATATTATGGCTCAG